CTTCTCCGTGACCTTTCGTGACCTTCCTTTAACCCTCCCTGTAACCTTTTTATCACCCTACACGAACCTCCGTTACGTTCTATGACCTACCGCAGTCCTACAGGGGGGCACTGATGGTAGAACGGTACCGCTCTTGCCTCTGAAGCGAGATGTCATGGGTTCGATTCCCGGGCCGGTGGAAGTTGTTTGGACATGCTTCCTAGCCCTCATTGGTCCCTGTTCACCTAACAGCACATTAGGTACCTGGTGTAAGTCGAAAGTTGCAAATTCGTATTCAGGGACAAGTTGTTGGAGCTTCCAATAACTTGATGACATAAAACCACTGACTCTTCAGGCTTCGACGCCCTTAACTCATGAGACATAAAGGCAAGCATGAACTTAGCATGCTTCCCTGTTGGGCGCTGTAAACGCTTCTGCGCTTCACCTTACACAGGATGTAGGGGAGTGCCCAATAATAAAAAAAAACGACAGTTCTCATAACTTCAAGACCATCATAACCTCCCTCGTCACCTATCCCGTCACCCGTTGTCCCCCAGACGTCTCCTGACCTGCCGTAACTTCTGGCACTCCTTGGCTCTCAGTGCCTCCCAAATTTGTCATTACTTTCTATAATCTTCTGCAATAAATCTTGTGACCTTCATTTGAGCTGATATCTGACGCTGAGTGAACGTCTCTAGTTAAGGTGGAGTCGCTCTGTGATATTGATGCTATTTTTGGAGTTTCTTATTATGTTATAGGTTAAGTGGACCTCATATGTGCGTTGTTATATCTTCTGTTATGAGGAATATTAATCGTACTAACCTTTGTGAATCTTCTCGTCCTGGGAACTTAATACCACAATACCTTCCTCATCTCCAGTCACCTCGTATGAACTTCCTTTACCTGTAGAATTCTCACATGACCCTTTCGCAGGCCGTTGATCTGTTGCCATCTGCTGGGATGTTCTAGGACTGATATACGACCAGTGATCCCTTATGACTAGGTATTCCCACCATAACCTTTACGTGACCACTTTTGACCTGTAAGCCAACATGACCTGTGTTCCGCTGCTGTCTTCACCCTTGTTGTGTCAGCGTCTTGAAACAACTAAGTGGATCGCTAGTGTGTCCCCAGGGTAACCTCCAATCCATCCAGCTGTGAATGGTTACCTAACTTCCTTCGATTTTTCTTGACCTTTCATGACCTCACAGTGACATGTGTTAAAATAATTGTTTCCTTCAACTTCACGTGACCCCTGAAACACACCCGCAGATGCTTACATTACGTGACCCAATAGACCCTCAGTGGTCCCATGGCCTAGAGGTAGTTCCTACTTCTCACCGGGATACCACCTATGACCTTTTCGGCACCTTCCAATTATCTCATGGCCTCCTGGAGAGTCCTGTGACCTTGACCCGGGTGCTAGTGCCACTCAGGATCTCGAGCAGGAAGGATCATGTGTCCCACTGTGGTCTTGTTGTTGTTTTGGGTTATTGTTGGTACAAGGAGGCGGTTTGTTTGTGTCTGTCAGTGTGTATGTGTGTTTGTTTGTGAGTTTGAATGTTTTTTGTGTGCTTGTGTTCTGATGTATGCGCATGTGTGTGTGTGTTTGGATGTACAGTATGTGTGTGTTGGGGTTAGTGTGTGTACATTTATACCTCCTTATATCTGTACGTAATTCTAACCAATTAATATCGATAAAACACTCCACATATCTATTAATAACTTAAGGTGAAGAATTAAACTCCTTCGGCTTATATAACTGCTCTCAGAAAACGGTGTCTGAATTCTTAGTTTTTCGTAAGTCAAGTTTTCCTCCTAACTTAGATATGTAAGTATGCCCGTAACTGGTTCACTTAAGTTACACACACACACACACACACACACTTAGGTTACAGCACAAAGATACATAATGTTTTTAACCGGGTTCTCTTAAGTTAAACAAAGATGCAGTGTGTTAACTGGTTCACTCAGTAAGCCACGAAGATGGAAGTCAAATGATGTCTCAGTAGCAATGGGACTCAACCGGAACTAGATTCTTTCTTTTAATCCCCTTGAGAATTATGATTTAACTTCCTGAGTACGATGATTTAACTTCCTGAGTATGATGATTTAACTCCTGAGTACGATGATTTAACTCCTGAGTACGATGTTTTGACTTCCTGAGTACGATGATTTAACTTCCTGAGTACGATGTTTTAACTTCCTGAGTACGATGATTTAACTTCCTGAGTACGATGTTTTGACTTCCTGAGTACAACTTTGCTTCCTGACCACGATGACTTACCCTCCAGAGTATGCTATCTTGAACTCTAGTAGCAGTACGATAACTCAACCTCCTGAGTACGATGACTGAATCCCTGAGTACGGTAATTTAACCTTTTAAGTGCAATAAATCTACCCCAGAGAGAGAAAACTATATTGCGTACGATAACTTGAATACAATACCTTAATAATCTATTGAGTACAATTACCTCAACACTTTCAATAACAATGACCCCTTGAGTACGATTACAGGTGGTTTAACCCTTTGTTCTGCGTTCTGGAGGGTTAAATCACCATCCTCAAAGGGTTAAACCATCGTCGTCAAAGAGTTAAACCACCGTCGTCAATGAGTTAAACCACCGTCGTCAAAGAGTTAAACCACCGTCGTCAAAGAGTTAAACCACCGTCGTCAAAGAGTTAAACCACCGTCGTCAAAGAGTTAAACCACCGTCGTCAGTGGTTTAAGTCATCGTACCCAAGAGGGCTAACTTAGGATGATGAATTGGCGATGACTCCTGGTTAAACCATCATTGTCTCAGAGAGTTCAGATGAGAGGTGGGATGGGGGAAGGTGAGAGGGAAGGAGAGAGGGAAGGACGGAGAGAGGGATGAGGAAAGGAGGGAGGTATGGTGAGAGGGAAGGATGGGGGAAGGAGGCAGGGAAGGTGAGAGGGAAGGAGGCAGGAAAGGTGAGAGGGAAGGAGGCAGGAAAGGTGAGAGGGAAGGAGGCAGGGAATATACGGCTTCGTGGCTTTCAATGGAGATCAAGGAAGGATGGGTGGAAAATTTTCTTTTAGCAAACCAACTGACTGACTGACTGACTGACTGACTGACTGACTGACTGACTGACTGACGGACGGACCGAACTAATTAACGAACTAGTGTGATGCATAAGGAGTCTTCATTAATTACCTTTGGGAGTATGTCCATTTATTACCATTGTATGTATAGTGATCCGGTAATTAAGGTTCTTACAGTAAGTCGAACTGCACGTGTGTGTGTGTGTGTGTGTGTGTGTGTGTATTGTTCGTGTAAGTGTTTGTATGTATAGTGAGAAGAACCACACACACCAAAAACTTGTTATTCGTTACGTGCTCTTGCGGAAATTGTGCATTAGTTCAGTAATCGTAATATTGTTATAAGGGGTGTGGAGGGGCAAGAAAGTGCTTCAAAAACTGGTCAGGGAAGAAGGTAAATGAGTGTAGCGGCGTCCTGTTGTTTGTGCTTCGGTAATTTACTTTGGCAAAGGTCACACAAAGATGAAGAAAGGGTGGAGAGGGAGAGTTCTCTAAACTGGTGAGTAGTTTATTAGGGTTAAAGCCCAGTTGTAAATGGGTCGTTGTCCTCATTGGTTCCATTCCTAATGAGTCCCAATCCTAGTGGTTAGGTTAGGTTAGTTTAGAATAGGTTAGGTTAGGTTAGGGGCCTCTTAAGATGGGGGCCCATTGGACTAAAAACATCCCTTTTCATAAGTTGTTTATTTTCCAAAGTTTTCTCCTCGAAGATCAACAAGACAGTTGGGGTTGACAACCTCATAAGAAGTAATAAAGAGAATATGATACCCGGAAGGATCTTAATTCTCAAAGTTCGTACGTTAAGTTTTCCGCCGGTGAGGAGAGCTGACGCCGCATCTGTCTCAAGAGTTAATACACAAAATGACATTGGAATTACACTGAGACTGTACCGTGTGTGTGTGTGTGTGTGTGTGTGTGTGTGTGTGTGTTGTTGTCGTAGCCAGTAATGAAGACAAAATAAATATTAACGGGAAACTGAAAGGAAAATTGTCTTAAGAAATACTTGTTCAAGCTTAAAGGGAACTAGCCCGCCATTTGCTCCACCTCTGACGTCATAGAAAGAAAAGACAACTGTCATCCGCAATCCGTCGTACAAAAAGTACTTACTGTACAGCACAGCACATTATATTATTTTCTAATTTTAAACTTCAATCACTGAAGAAAATTTATAAAGATCACATATTCAAATAATGTTTATTAATTCCAGAACATTATTGATTATTTATTCATATAAACAAATTCCAAATGAGTGGTGTGGGCCACTGAGGGAAGGGGTCCAGCCTGGGCAGGTGTCAGGTTACAGGTGTTCAGTTATGTGTGAACAGTTATAGCGAGCGCGTGTTTGAGGCTAAATACTAATTGTCTTTTGTCCTCGTATAATAAATTTGTAATGAATTGTTCATTTCTTATATAAGTTCATGTATTAAGTTATTGAAACGAAATTCTGATAATTTAAAATATAAAACAAAATTTACCTGCCATGTAAGGCACTGATGAATTAAATAATAATTAATAATGACAGACAAAATAGGACTCTAGTTCACTTTAGAACCTGTGTTAAAAAGATATCTTTAACAACCTGGAGCTTCATACATACCATGTGTCTTGTTAACACAGCCGCCACCTATGCCCTGTGTCTTGTTAACACAGCCGCCACCTATGCCCTGTGTCTTGTTAACACAGCCGCCACCTATGCCCTGTGTCTTGTTAACGCAGCCGCCACCTATGCCTTGTGTCTTGTTGCCTGGCCGCCACCTATGCCCTGTGTCTTGTTAACGCAGCAGCCGCCACTTGTGTCTTGTTAACACAGCCATACTATACCCTGTGTCTCTTGTGCTGCAGCCGCCACCCTATGCCTTGTGTCTTGTTAACACAGCCGCCACCTATGCCCTGTGTCTTGTTAACAGCCCGCCACCTCTGCCGCCGCCTATGCCTGTGTCTTTGTTAACACAGCCGCCACCCTCTATGCCTTGTGTCTTGTTACTTGCAGCCGCCACCCCATGCCCTGTGTCTTGTTAGCACAGCCGCCACCTATGCCCTGTGTCTTGTTAACACAGCCGCCACCTTTATCATGTGTCTTGTTAACACAGCCGCCACCCTGCCACCATGTTAACACAGCCGCCACCTCTGCTTTGTGTCTGTTAACACAGCCGTGCTTTGTGTTGTTAACACAGCCGCCACCTATGCCCTGTGTCTTGTTAACGCAGCCGCCACCTATGCCCTGTGTCTTGTTAACACAGCCGCCACCTATGCCTTGTGTCTTGTTAACACAGCCGCCACCTATGCCTTGTGTCTTGTTAACGCAGGCCACCTATGCCTTGTGTCTTTGCTTTATGCGCCACCACCTATGCCTTGTGTCTTGTTAACGCAGCCGCCACCTATGCCTTGTGTCTTGTTAACACAGCCTGCTATGCCTTGTATCTTGTTAACACTAACAGCCGCCACTTATGCCTTGTGTCTTGTTAACGCAGCCGCCACCTATGCCCTGTGTCTTGTTAACACATACCACCTATGCCTTGTGTGTCGTGTTAACACTAGCCGCCCTATGCGCCTTGTGTCTTGTTAATGCAGCTATACACTGCCCTGTGTACCTGGCCGCCACCTATGCCTTGTGTCTTGTTAACACAGCCGCCACCTATGCCTTGTGTCTTGTTAACACAGCCGCCACCTATGCCCGCAGCATGTCTTACATTAACACCTGCCACTTACACCTATGCCTTGTGTCTTGTTAACAGCAGCCGCCACCTTTATGCCTGTGTCTTGTTAACACAGCCGCCACCCCTATGCCTTGTGTCTTGTTAACACAGCCACCACCTATGCCTTGTGTCTTGTTAACACAGCCGCCACCTGCCTTGTGTCTTGTTAACACAGCCGCCACCCTATGCCTAACACAGTGCCACCTCTGCTTGTTAACACAGCCGCCACCTATGCCCTGTGTCTTTGTTATGCATAGCCGCCACCCTATGCACTTGTGTCTTGTTAACACAGCCACCCTCTGCTTTGTGTCACACACCTCTGCTTGTGTCTTGTGCTGCTGTGTCTTGTGTCTTGTTAACACAGCCGCCACCTCTACTTTGTGTCATGTTAACACATGCCCTATCTCTGCTGTGTGTGTCATGTGTTGCCACAGCCGCCACCTCTGCTGTGTGTCATGTTAGCACAGCCACCATCTCTGCTTTGTGTCATGTTAACACAGCCGCCACCTCTGCCTTGTGTCTTGTTAACACAGCCGCCACACCTCTGCTTTGTGTCATGTTAACACAGCCGCCACTGCCTGCTGTGTCATGTTAACACAGCCGCCACCTCTGCCTTGTGTTGTGCCTGTGCGCCACCTCTGCTGTGTCATGCCCAACACAGCCGCCACCTATGCTTTGTGTCATGTTAACACAGCCGCCACCTCTGCTTTGTGTCATGTTAATACAGCCGCCACCTCTGCTTTGTGTCTTGTTAACACAGCACGCCACCTCTGCTTTGTGTCATGTTAGCACAGCCGCCACCTCTGTTTTTTGTGTGGTTAACACAGCCGCCACCTCTGCTTTGTGTCATGTTAACACAGCCGCCACTCTGCTTTGTGTCATGTTAACACAGCCGCCACCTCTGCTTTGTGTCACTACAGCCGCCACCTCTGCTTTGTGTCTTGTTAGCACAGCCGCCACCTCTGCTTTGTGTCATGTTAACACAGCCGCCACCTCTGCTTTGTGTCATGTTAACACAGCCTGCCTCTCTGCTGTGTCTTGTTAACACAGCGCCACCTCTACTTTGTGTCATGTTAACACAGCCGCCACCTCTGCTTTGTGTCTTGTTAACACAGCCGCCACCTCTGCATGTTGTGCCATGTTAACACAGCCGCCACCTCTGCTTTGTGCCATGTGCCCACAGCCTGCCACCATCTCTTTTGTCATGTTAACACAGCCGCCACCTCTTGCTTTGTGTCATGTAACACAGCCGCCACCTCTGCTTTGTGTCATGTTAGCACAGCCGCCACCTCTGCTTTGTGTCATGTTTAGCACAGCCGCCACTCTGCTTTTGTGTCATGTTAACACAGCCACCACCTCTGCTTTGTGTCATGTTAACACAGCAGCCGCCACCTCTGCTGCTTTGTGTCATGTTGGCACAGCTACTTACTCTTCTGTGTCATGTTAACACAGCCGCCACCTCTGCTTTGTGTCCATGTTAACACCACACTCTGCTTTGTGCCATGTTGCATGCCGCCCCTCTGCTGCTTTGTGTCATGTTGCCATCACCTCTGTTTTGTGTCTTGTTAACACAGCCGCCACCTCTACTTTGTGTCATGTTAACACAGCCGCCACCTCTGTCATGTTAACACAGCCACCATCTCTGCTTTGTGTCATGTTAACACAGCCGCCACCTCTGCTTTGTGCCATGTTAACACAGCCGCCACCTTTATCATGTGTCATGTTAACACAGCCACCATCTCTGCTTTGTGCCATGTTAACACAGCCGCCACCTTTATCATGTGTCATGTTAACACAGCCACCATCTCTGCTTTGTGCCATGTTAACACAGCCACCATCTCTGCCATTACCCTAGACTGGTCAATGTATCGTCCGGATGGTAATATTCCTCAATCTGGCGTCTCTTAAGGAGCCATCACCTTGGCAACCAAGGATGCTGGTGACGTAACGTGTGAAGAAACATCTCTCCACTAACGGGGAATGTTTGTCATTTGCTGATGATGTTGGTGTTGATGTGGCTTCTGGACACCTGGTGTATATTAGGGTGTGGCCTCACTGACACCTAGTGTATATTCGGGTGTGGCCTCACTGACACCTGGTGTATAGTAGGATGTGGCCTCACTGACACCTGGTGTATATTAGGGTGTGGCCTCACTGACACCTAGTGTATATTAGGGTGTGGCCTCACTGACACCTGGTGTATAGTAGGATGTGGGTTCTCACGACCTGGTGTATATTAGGTGTGGGCCTCACTGACACCTGGTGTGGCCTCACTGACACCTGGTGTATAGGGATGGGCCTCACTGGACACCTGGTGTATATTAGGTGGCTCACTGACACCTGGTGTATATTAGGGTGTGGCTTCACTGACACCTGGTGTATAGTAGGGTGTGGCCTCACTGACACCTGGTGTATATTAGGTGTGGCCTCACTGACACCTAGTGTATATTAGGGTGTGGCCTCACTGACACCTGGTGGCATAGGGTGTGGGCCTCACTGACACCTGTGTATATTAGGTGTGCTCACTGACACCTAGTGTATATTAGGTGTGGCCTCACTGACACCTGGTGTATATTAGTGTGGCCTCACTGACACCTAGTGTATTAGGTGTGGCCTCACTGACACTCTGGTGTATATTAGGGTGTAGCCTCACTGACACCTAGTGTATGTAGGTGTTCTCACTGACACCTAGTGTATACCTGGTTAGGTGTGGCCTCACTGACACCTGGTGTATAGTAGGTGTGGCCTCACTGACACCTGGTGTATATTAGGGTGTGGCCTCACTGACACCTGGTGTATGTTAGGGTGTGGCCTCACTGACACCTAGTGTATATTAGGGTGTGGCCTCACTGACACCTGGTGTATATTAGGGTGTGGCCTCACTGACACCTGGTGTATATTAGGGTGTGGCCTCACTGACACCTGGTGTATATTAGGGTGTGGCCTCACTGACACCTGGTGTATAATAGAACATAGGAATGGAGGATACTGCAGCGGACCTATCGGCCCAACTAAACAGTCCCTACACCCAACCCCTATCGCTCATATATCCATCCAACTTATATTTGAAGCTACCAAGCGTGTTCGAGTTAATGATGATGTTTGGTAACTTGTTCCACTCATCCACTACTCTATTTCTAAACTAGTGTACACTTATCTCGCGCCTAAATCTAAATTCGTCTAATTTATAACCATTGCTACAAGTTCGTTCCTGGTTGGATAATTTAAGTACCTTTGTTATATCACCTTTGTTTAACCCTGACTTCCATTTATACACCTCGATCATATCGCCCTTCACTCTACGTCTCTGGAGGGAGTGCAAATTAAGATGCCCGGGATTAGTAGGCCAGAGTGGAACTATGGGCAAGAATTTTTTACATCATTTACCTGTCTACCCAGCAGTGAGTGGAAACTGAATGTTAATCCGTGTTCCGGGGTAATGATTAGCCAGTGCAGTTAGCGAGTTGTCCGGTCTTCTCAGACTATTCCTTGACACAGGGTCATGCAGCTCTTTAACTTAGGGTGTGGTTGTTGTGTTGGCGACAGCTTCTACACCTTAAACAAATTCACGCATAGGTGGCCTTAGGGCCGGTTATCCTCGTTCCGAGGGGCAATCATTATGTGTGTGAGTGTGGGGGGTGAATGTAGTTAGGCAACGTATGAATAGGGCAGTAACGAAGTATCATTTATGTAAGTGGCGTAACAAGATCCGAGCCGTTGATTTAATGGCATTATCCGAGAATTTGTAAAAATAATGGAGAGTATCGCGTCTAGGCTTCTGAGGTCGGGTGAGGGAGCTAGGACACATCTTGACAGCCCCGAGGAGAGGGCCGACGCTTCACAGGAGGTGTACAGTACCAGGGCGCCAACACTCAATAAGGGAGCAAGGACACATCTTGACAGCCCCGAGGAGAGGGCCGACGCTTCACAGGAGGTGTACAGTACCAGGGCGCCAACACTCAATAAACTTATATATCATTACCGGATGTAAATACAAACATGGAAACGCAAATTATTGGGGAATAAGTTTTGTAATAAGTTACACATTATAAATATGTGTAATTGAATATACATGCTTTAATTCTCACTTATTCCGTTACTTTTCCGTTACACCCCTGCAAATTATCTTAAGATCATTAGTTTTCATCTAACCTAACGTAACCTGACGTAACGAAAGGTAACCTAACGTAAGCTAACGTAACCTAACCTAACCTAACCAAACATAGGTTTGGTTAAGTTAGGTTATTTGAGAAAGCTAATTTACGGTCTAATTTCTAGAGGTGGTGCCTGTTTCATAAGGCTCGTTGATTTTATCCAGGTGCTTTATTTTTCTGTTATTTAAAACATAAGTAACTTGTACATTGACTGATGTTCGGCGTGTATGAGGACTCGTTATTATCCTCCACGGTAAGACACACTCTCAACAGGACCACTAGAGGTTGGCTTAGTTATAATGGCCAGTGCTCTATCGACCTGGATCACCTTGCCAGAACAATTTGACCCTAACCCACGAAATACCGGTTTATGGTCAACTTCTCTCACATCGAGGTGTAGTGCCCTGAGGTGGCGAGATGTCTTCTCTATCTGAACCCAGATTTAACCAGCTGACAACTCCTTCCCACCACCCTGAAATTTGTGTTAGAGAGAGAGAGAGAGAGAGAGAGAGAGAGAGAGAGAGAGAGAGAGAGTAATTTCTGTCGTATATTATGGTTTGATTTTACTCTCTCTCTCTCTCTCTCTCAACATTATTGCAGTGGTGAGGTGTTAAGAGGTGAGTGTCGGGAGAGAGCCTCAAGTGGTGGGGGGCGCCAACTTAGTAATAGCAGGTCGTCGCCTCACCAGTGTCGGGAGAGCTGAGAAAGTGATGGAAATGGCGAAGTGTGTTTTTCGAGCACTGGATATATTCAGAATTTATGTGCGTTTTTTTATCGTATTTCTGTGTGTGTGTGTGTGTGTGTGTGTGTGTGTGTGTGTGTGTGTGTGTGTGTGTGTGTGTGTGAGATAACAGAGGCGAAGGGTGGTGGTGTTGGTGATAGTATTGGTAATGGTTGGAGGTAATTTTGATGGTGGTGGTAATGATAAAGGTGGTTGTAATGGTACTGTTGGTGATGGTGGTGGTGATGGTGGCAGTGGCGATTCTAGGATTTTTTTCTGGGGGGGGGGCAAAGGCTCAGAAATTTCCCCAATTCATGTGACTGAGGTAGCACCCAGACAAGACTTTAAAGCAGGTTGTGGGCTGTGGTCATGGGAGACTTATAAAATTACTTAAGAGGCTTAAATCTAATTTATTATTGGTAAATTCTACTACTGTATTGGGCAGTTTACATTTAGACTTCATGAAATAATGGTATAACGTACACAATTCACTGCAACAACGAAATAACAGAGTGCCAGGCTGAAATTCTCTGAGGTCCTGTCATACTGTGCGTCTTCCTCACTTTCACTATAATTTTGCCCTATACCTTCACTGTGCTTTTCTATCTTCAGTGTGTGTTACTTCCTTCATTATGTTAACCTATCTTCACTGTTAGTATGCCTCCTTACCTTCACTGATCTTCCCAGCTTTCACTGTAATATTCTATCACTGTTCTCTTCTACCTGCATTGTGTTTTAATAACTTCACTAACTTTTGAGCTTTCCTGCCTTCCTAAGTTCCCTTCAATGTTCTTCTCTGTGTTCACTGTGCTTCTCTACCTTCACTGTACTTCCCTTACTTGACCTTTCTTTCCCAATACACACTGGGGCTGAACTGTGGAAAACGCGCGGTAATGATCAACAATTCGCTGAGAACTTCGCCTAAAACCTTACCTTAATGAATGGTGAAAGTCTGAATGAAAATAACAAGAAGAGAGCGAGAGCCGTTTGCGGTGTTGCCCCTGGACGCAGTGGCCCAGTACTGACAACACACCATGAAATATGTAAATAAACTTGTACGAATAAACGAGTTCTGTACGCGTGGCATCTGGTAGCTAGGGCTGCCACCTGCCAGACCAGCTCTCTCTCTCACAAATTGCAGTATGTAACAAATTATTTCCCCTAATTTTATCAGTAGCTACGCCACTGGGTGGTGGTAATAGTAGTGGTGGTGATGTTGTTGGTGGTAATGTTGTTGTTGGTGGTGGTAATGTTGTTGTTGTTGGTGGTGGTAATGTTGTTGTTGTTGGTGGTGGTAATGTTGGCGGTGGTGGTAATAGTGGTTGTGGTAATTTTGGTAATGGTGGTAATTGTTACAGGAATGGCCGCCACGTCATTCACCACTACAGAGGACTGGATATCTAGCTGCCCTTCGAAGCCTCGAAGATATGATAGGAACCAAAAATGAAGCATTAGACGGGATATAGAACTTCGAAGCTTTAAAGAAGTATATGAAACCAGAGTGACTCATTTAGGTGGAATATAAAACTGAGAGGGTGAGGGAAAATCAACAGTCTACATCGAGTCTCTGGCCCTCTGGGGTGGAGAGTCGCCCTGGGAGCGAGATAAGAGTTAGCACTGCTGGCAAACGGAGTCT